GTTGAGAAGTCAGCCACATTGATGTAGGCAATTACACATCGTTCATGCTCGTGGCTGGTCAGCAGAGTCATCCTTGGTATCTGTAGGGGGCTTGGTTCCAGGACACCCCACAGATACCGAAATCCTAGGGTGCTCAAGTCTCTCATAGAAAACGATGTAATATTTGCATATAACCTACGCACATCCTCCCTTATACTTTAAGTCATCTCTGGATTACCTATAATACCTAATACAATGTAAATGCTATGTAAACAGTTGTTGCTCTGTATTGCTTAGGGGATAATGACAAGGAAAAACAGTCTGTATGTGATTAGGAAAGACAAACCGTCATAGGCCTAATTACGTAGTACACATCGGTAACAATGTAACATTTAAAAATATTTTTTTATCTACGGTTGGATGAATTGGAGGATGCAGAACCTCAGACCCAGGGGTTTGAATGTGTTTCATTGTGTGTTTTTCATTAATTGTTGATGAGTTTTTGTAGAGTTTCTGGTAAGAGGCTCTTGTAGTAGGCATTGCTAAGAATATTCTAGTAGATATCTTCCGATGAACATAGGGACACATTTCTGATAAGTATACACTTAGGGGCGCAATTGCCGGGTCGTAGTGTGTTTAGCTTTAGTAGATACTGCCAAATAGCTCTATGCAAAGCATTCGCTTTTTAAAATGTCAGTGACATGGAGCACTGTGCCCTCCTTTCCCCAACAGTCATTTATTCACTCACGTCTTTGGAGCCCAGGTCTATGCGGGGCACTGGATGAGCTATTGAAATGCCTAGGTCGAAAGGCCATGGGCTGGTCTTGGCCCCGTGTGCCCTGAAATCTCTATTCCCTCCCTGGAGAGGATCACGCAGGGCCAGCTCCTTCAGGCTGCATTTCCCAGGCTCCTGGATCAGCTGGAGGGCACCTGCAGGAGCCCAGTGGGCTAGAGAATGGAAGAAACTTGGGGGTCGTTTTTCCTCTCCCTCTGCCTTGGGCAATGCCTCTGGTTGTGGCTGCACCTCTTCCATGCCTCCACCTCCCAGAGGACAGGCTTGTCATTTTTCTAGCCGAAAGCAAGTGTCCCATCAACACTGAGTGAGTTCATGAGCAACCACCCACTCAGAGACCAGTGCTTGGCTGAGGGTCCCTCTGTCCCTGCCAGCCTGGATCCTAAGAAGCGAGGCCACTGTCTGGAGGACAGAGATATCCTTCAGTTTCCTTCTCAAGGGGTGACCCTATGGCAGATCAAAAAGCAGAGAGAGGCTGTGGGCCAGGCTGAGAGGACACTGCCCTCAGCTGCTAACTTGCCCCTTAGAGAAACGGTCTGATCTTTGCAGGCCTCAGTCTCCTCATCTGAAAAATGGGGATATTTACACCAGTTGTATCGACCTCACAGGTGGTCCTGAGGGTCAAATAAAAAAATGGCTGCACTTCAAAGCTCTTGGAAACTAAAAGATCATTAATGAAGCTTCAAGGGATAATGAAAACCTTTCGTTATTCTCAACTGTACCCCACCCCTAGTCCAAAGGGTCCCCAGATTCCTCCCCAAGCCTTACCTGCAGGCTGGCTCCAAGAGAGCTTTGTGCAAAGGCCTGGATTCGGATGGTCCCTATGGATTTAGAAAGGACTCCTTGCTGAAACAAGGCACTCTGTAGGCTGCAGCCCCATGGGCAGCTCACCTGAAGGACAGGAGGGAGCTTTCTCTAGCCCTCCTGAAAAGTGAGTCACTCTGTCAATATGCCCTCTGCTGTCACTGCTGGTTCTACCAGATCTCCCTGGAGCTGGGCCTTGCCCTTGCCAAGCCAGAACCCTCACCCTCCTCCCGTGTCAAAAGCAGGAGACACATGCCAGCCAGAACTACCCAGAACCCCAGAACCCCATTCTATTCAAAAGCCTTTCAGACTATTACAGTCTTTGTAAAGCAATTATCACTGGATGAATAGAGGTAAAAGAGAGTCTTCCCTCCTTCTCTCTTCTCCATCTCAATCCATGCCCCAAAGAAACCATCATTAACCATTCTCCTTGTGGAACATTCAGATTCTGTGTAGTACATATTCAATGAGGACTTTTTTTTTTTTTCAGAGCAGTTTTAGGTTCACAGCAAAATTGAGAGGAAGGTGCAGAGATTTCCTGTCTACTCCCTGCACCCACACATGGCTTCCCTCGTTATCAGCCAAAGGGGTGCATTTGTTACAGCTGCTGAACCTACACTGACACATCGTTGTCACCCAAAGCCCATAGTTTACACTGTGATTTACTCTTGGTATTGTACATTCTACGAGTTTAGACAAATGTGTAATGACATTTATCTGCCATTAGGGTATCATACAGAGTATTTTCATTGTCTGTTCACCCCTTTCTCCACCCCTAACCCCTGGCAACCACTGATCCTTTTACTGTCTCTATAATTTTGCCTTTTCTTGAATGTCACATCATTGGAATTATACAGTATGTAGCCTTTTCAGATTGGCTTCTTTCACTTAGCAATATGCATTTAAGGTTCTTCCATGTCCTTTCACGGCTTGATAGCTCATTTCTTTTGAGTGCTGAATAATACTCCACTGTCTGGAAACGTCACGGTTTATTTATCCATTCGCCTACTGAAGGACAACTGGGTTGCTTCTAAAGCTGTGATAAACATCCACGTGCAGGTTTTGGTGTGGACATAAGTTTTCAGCTCCTTTGGGTAAATCCTAAGGAGTGAAATTGCCAGATTTTATGATAAGTGTGCTTAGTTCTGTAAGAAACCGCCAAACTGTCCTCCCAAGTGGCTGTACCATTTTGCATTTCTGCCAACAATAAATGAGAGTTTCCTGTTTCTCCACATCTTCACCAGCATTAGGTGTTGCCAGTGTTCAAAATCTTGGCCATTTTAATAGGTGTGTGGTGGTGTCTCATTGTTTTAATTTGCATTTCTCTGATGACTGGTGTGAAGCATCTTTTCATATGCTTATTTGTCCTCTGTATATCTTCTTCGGTGAAGTATCGGTTATGGTTTTTGACCCATTTTTTAATTGGGTTTTCTTACTGTTTTATGAGTTTTAAGAGTTCTTTGAATATTTTGGATAACAGTGCATCAGATGTGTCTTTTGCAAATAGTTTCTCCCAGTCTGTGGCTTGTCTTCTCATTCTCTTGAGGCATATTCAATTTTAAAATTCTAATTTAATTTTAGAAGTAATACAAAATTTTGCCTTTTGGGGGAAAAATAAAACAAAACGAAATCTGTCTTGACTTCCGTCCCCATCCGAGTCCACCTTTCTCTATGTGTATTTATTTGTATTCTATTTCCATGGGAAATGCATAGCTCTATTTCATGTGCATGTGTGTTATATAAATGCTGGCATATCACACCTATTATTTGCCAGTCATAGTCCTATCAATCTTGAAGATATGTCCATGTTAGGACATATACAACCACCTCATTCTAAGCATGGCATTATATTTATTTAGCCTTTCCCTGTTGACAGACGAGTAGGTGGCTCCCAATTTTTTCTTTTGTCCCTTCATAAAAATTATTTTTAAAAATTTTGATCAAATTCATGCATTTTCATGGTATTAAAAAAAATCAAATAATATTACAGTGTTTATCTCAAATATCAGTAATATATCCCCCTACACCACACACACACACACACACACACGCACGCACGCACGCATCCCTCCAAGACCTGCTCCTCTGAGAAAATGAGTTACTACTCTTCAGCTGTTTCTCTGGCACTTACCTCCCTATTTCTCAATGTGATGCTTATATGGTATTTTCTGATTTATCAACCTGAGACACGATCTACTGTCTGCTATGGTGGCACATGCAGATTTAATGTTTTATACTCACCACCCCCACCCACTCGCCTCCCCTCTCTCCGTTCTCGTATAGTTACATGAGGATTTTCTGGTTAAATCGGTGTTCTCTGTTTACATTATTGTGACCTGGAAGGATTTTTTTCCTGCCAAGCAGTGGTTCTCAACTTTACCTGCACCCAGGGAGCTTTAAATATTCCTAAAGCCCATCCTGCACCCCAGATCCATTCAGTTAGGTTATCTTCCACTTTTCCTTCTCTCCTTTCCTTGAATGTTTTATTTCTGCTCTCACTTCTTCTTTTTTTTTTTTTTTTTACAAACTCTTCCGTGTTTTCGGATCGCTTCTTGTTGCAGACACTGTTGGCATTAGCCCTTGGCATTCACCCCCAGCCCGCTGCCCAAGGCTATTTACTGCGAATATCTGTGATGTTTTGCCCAAGGGCTGTTTTCTTCCAAGTAACATTTGTCTTGCTTGAGTGCAGGACAAACTGGAAGTGATGAAGGTCAGTTCCCTTGGAAGCAGTTGGTGGGTCCTTGTGCACAGATTAGAGTCCCTCCGAGGCTGTTCTGCACCATCTCCCAGGGCTCCCAAGCAAGATCAAGCTCAGATGCCCACAGCAGTAACTGGCTAGAATAACACACCTTTCATTGGCTTCTTTCCCTTCCCTGGCTCACTTCCCAACTCCTCGACCAGTATTGTCTGGGATTTCCTATCAACAATCACTTGCCCTGGCATCATTGTCTCAAAGTCTGCTTATGAGAAACCAAATCAGACACTCTCTTAAAAAATGTATGGGATCTTATTCTCATCTCCTGGGTGCAATACCTTGTTATCTCTCTGAGTATGTTAATTACAGCGAGAACGTAACATCTGTTTTAAAATCCTCACTCTTGAGACTTTGCAGCTACATGGAGCCTTAGCTTGGCCCATAATTTCTACAGGTCGATTTTCTGATTTTTTTTTCCAGGGGTAACTCTCCAGCCTTCCACTGCAATGAGGGTATGTACCCGGCTGGGAGCATCCTTAGAGCCAAGCTGCAGGAGAGAGCAGAGCTTTTCCTAGTCAGCATACAGACTGTCCCATACATTCCTGTTCTTAGTATAGTGTCCCTCCCTGTCTTCTGCTGTCTTTTAGGTCTGGAGCCTCCTGGTTCTATTTTTCTGTAGAACAAACTTCTACCAAGGTCCGAAATGAGCCCAAGGTGGTTATTCCAGTTATGTCGCTAAGTACAAAGTCACCCAGAATTAATCAAAACGATAATATTCATTTTATTATCTCTCATAGTTTCTGTAGCCAAAGAATTTGGGAAAGGCTTGGCTGGGTGCTTTTGGCTTGGAATCTCTCATGAGGTTGCAGCCGGAAGCTAACTGACACTGGAATAACAAAGGTCCAGCATCCATCTCCCTACCCCTGCCCCCCACCCCGCCCTCTCTAGTCTCAAGTCCACTCCATGGTGTTTTCCATAAGGGTTACTTTGAGCTTCTTCACAATATGGCAGTCTCAAAACAGCCATGCTGCCCACATGGAGGCTTAGGATTCCAGCACAAGAGTTCCAGCCTCGGAAATTACACAACATCACTTCCACTGAGTTTTGTTGTTGCAAGGGAGTCACAAGCCTGCCCCAATCCAAAGGGAGGGGACACAAGACTCCATCTCTCAAAGAAGGAGTGGCACACACAGTCACATTGTGGAACGGCACGTGGAACAGGAGATGCTGTCGTGGCCATCTTTGGAAAGTACACGATGATCTCATTGCTCCCTATATAGGATTCCAAGCCATGTTTCTGTTGGTGATCCCTCTCCATCTCAGACACATCATTCCGACTCGATTCCTAGCATTCTGGGGTTTTAGTCCATGAATCTTCCTGCTTCTTGCGGGTCTTCCATGGACAGATGTGCTAGCTGGGCAACACACAGTGGAACCACATCTTAGGAGTGTCATTCACCTTGTAAACATTATCACTTTGTCTATTTAGTATGATAATTTTCCAACAGATAGCAGTAAAGGAGGGGGGAGGTGTGGGAAACAGCATATTATGCCAATTTCCCACCAGATGGAAGTCAAGTATCCAGCAGAAAGAAATCCATTTCCTTTTCAAACAAAGTCGCTGAGTGCGTTTTCAGCTTTCTTACTTACCTGCTCTCCGCCGCCCCGAGCTGGTGAACAGCTCTCATCTGCTATTGCGCTCTCTCCTGTTCTTGGTTCTTTTGTGGGTTGATACCTTTTTTGTTCATTTACTCTGGATGTGTAGGGCTCTGGGAAGAAGGCAGAAGAAAATCCATGTCCTTAATCTATTCGTTTTAACTGCAAGCATTATATTTCCATGCTTTCCCTTAATATAAATGGCTGCAAATCACCCGCAGTTGAAAACCACTACTGCAAATCTATCTGAAGTCCTCTTAGCAACCTGTAACCTGGTTAGTTAGCTGTTTTTGCTTCCTTTGTTTCTGTCACAACTAGTTATGATTTTCTAGGGGAGGACACGTTGTCCTAACATGCCGTTCCGCTGTGTGCCCAGATAGGGGGTTAATTTCTCTTAACTTACTCCCAGTTTTTTTTTTTCTATCAAGTTTATTTGCTAATTTTCTTTTAAAGAACTGAAAAACTTTCAAATATAATACATATTTATTATTGAAAATTGGCAAATACAGAAGAGCACAGGGAAGAAAATAAAAAATTTCCCTTCAGATCGCCTCCAGATAACTACTATTAACATAATTTTGGCAATTATTCTTGTAGTCTGCCAGTCTTTTTCCTCTCTCTTCCTCCATGTAAGATATATATATTTGTGTATGTGTATATATGTATATAGAGTGTGTATATATATACACAATGCATGCATGTGTATAAAACTTTAAGCAAAATATCTCTTTTCATATGATAATATTGTAATAACTCTTCTTTCTTTAGAGTCCTTTCTAATCGCTCCTTATTTGTGCATGCAGAGGGATCCACCTTAGTGCTCAAGTTTTGATTGTTTATACTGATGAAGGTGATCACTTGTCAGTACCATTTTTGAAATACAGCAGTCCCCCCTTATCTGCAGGGGATACATTCTAAGACCCCAGTGGATGCCTGAAACCATGGGTGGTACTGAACCCTGTATATACCATGTTTTCTCCTATACAGACATATCTAATGATAACGTTTAATTTATAAATTAGGCATAGTAAGAGATTAACAACAACAACAACTAGTAATAAGACAGTGGATGCCTGAAACCATGGGTGGTACTGAACCCTTATATACCATGTTTTCTCCTATACAGACATACCTAATGATAATGTTTAATTTATAAACTAGGCATAGTAAGAGATTAATAACAACAACAACTAGTAATAAGACAGAACAATTATAACAATGTACTATAATAAAAGTTATGTGAATATAGTCTCACTCTCTCTCTCAAAATAACTTATTGTAACGTACTCACCCTATTTCTTAGGATGATGTAAGATGACAATGCCTACACGATGAGATGAAGTGAGGTGAATGACGTAGGCATTGTGACGTAGCTTTAGGCTACTATAGGGTGACTCAAACACAAGCACTGTGATACCAGGGATACAAGACAGCTACTAAGTGACTAACAGGTGGGTAGTGTATACATTGTGGATACGTTAGTCAAAGGAGTATGTCACATTCCAGGCAGGATGGAGCAGGAAGGACAGCACAGAATTTAAAACTTATGAATTGTTTATTTCTGCAATTTTCCATTGACTGTTTCCAGACTCCGCTCGACCGCAGGTAACAGCAAGTAAAACCGTGGATGAGGAGAAACCACTGAACAGCAAACGGCTTCTGGTCCCTGTCACAGTGCAACTTCAAGAACATTAAAAACATGACTCCATGCAAAGGAGCATGACCCCAAGATATATATAACTTATTAATTAGGGAAAACACAGGATGGTAAAAGAAGATACAAAGGAGAATTAGAAGAAAAGGTGTTATTTTGTGCATCAGGAAAGGCATACTGAAATCAGTTTGCAAGGTTAGAAACAAAACTGATTAATATCTTACAGGGCAATAAAACTGTAACCTTTGGGGTTATCTTTTCTACCAGACAAAAATCATTTGCATGTCTACCGAACAAAAAGTAGCACACAACTTTACAGAATCTGGGCCCAGATCAACAGGAAAGTTCAAGTAGAACATAGGGACATCCTCTAGACGATGAAATAATCCAGGCGTGGTGTTAGACAACGCTCCAGCACGCGCTGAAAGGCCACGGGGCCTCGTTTTGCCTTATTTCCAAGTTCGTGATAATTTTTCTTAATATCCTCATTCTTTTCCCTGGTTCCTCAAGGAAATTCTGCGCAATATGTTCCTAAGGGAAAGTGGCCATGGTCTCTGCGGTCCCCTTGGCACCTCTCCTCTGTCCCTCGCCCATCTACATTCTAGGACGGCAAGGTCAGTCCCCAGAGACCTGGGTATTTCCATTAGTCACTCATTGTACCTGGCCCAGTTTCCTCTTCTGTGTGACCTTGCTTTTTCCTTCCTTCCATCCTTCCTTCCTTCCTGGCTTCCTTCCTTTCTACTTTCCTTCCTTCCTTCCTCCCTCCCTCCTTTCTTTCTTTCCTCTCTCTTTTCTTTTTCCTCACTTTCATTTTTTCAAATATATAAGTTCTTTTTTGAGATATAACTCACGTATTACACACCCATTTAATGCGTACAATTCTGTGGTTATTGGTATATTCACGGACTTGTGCAATCAATTTTAGAACATTTTTATCACTCCCGAAAGAAATCCTTTTAGCAGTCACTTCCCATGTCCACCCAGCCCCTGGCAGCCAGTAATCTACATTCTGTTTCTATGTATTTGTCTATTCTGGACATTTTCTATGACTGGAATAAAAAAACATGTGAGTCTTTTGTTTCCGGTTTCTTTCATTTAGCATGTTTTCAAGATCCATCCATGTTATTGCACACATCAGTACTTCACTTCTCTTTATTGCTGAATAATAGCCCACTGGTTACCTACACCACATTTTAATCAGGTGATGCACATACGGGTTGTTTCCACTTTCGGGATATCATGAAAAATGCTACTATCAATATTAGTGACAAGTTTTTTGTGTGGCTGTGTTTTTATTTCTCTTGGGTAGATACCCAGGAGTGGATTTTATGGATCATACGATAACTTAACATCTTACCTTTTCAGAAGCCGCCGAGGCCAAGCTGTTTTCCAAAGTGGCCGTACCATTTTACATTCCCACCAGCAGTGTAGGAAGGTTTCAATTTCTCCATGTCCTTGTCAATAATTGTTATTATCTATCTTTTTGATTATAACCATCCTAGTGGATGTGAAGTGGTATCTCATGGTGCTTTTAGAGGCCTTGCTTCTTCAACCTTTCTTGCACAGAAACCAATTCTACACGCAGTCGAGGCACTGAGCACAGTCGCCTTGAGGTCTAAGTCTCTCTTAGTGGGTCGAGTCTGATGGATGAGTGAATGGCCTGCTGAGCCTTCTCACAGAGGAGGGCTCCCAAAGGGGCAGGGCAGTGAACTTTTCGGCCAAACGGATCATGTTCTTATGGTAAACAGAGGTGGTAAACACCTAGGATTGTTGTGCAAGGCAGGGGACAGGAGAAATGCAGCCCGGGCCACTGTGAAGAGGTCCCTTACGTCTGTAAGGTGTCATTTAAGTGCTGCGCAGAATAAAATGACCTCCTCCGCCACTTTGCCACACTGTCAGAGATTCCACCACATTCCCGGAGCTAAGTAAATAAGTTGCTGCCTTTTAAAAAATGCGCATACCTCTGGGAGAGGGAGGCATCTTGCAAGAAGTCATTACCTTATTGTGAATTAGCTTATCAGATGCCGACCCACACCCTGCAGAGACAGGGCTCAGCGGAAGTGGGAGCTTTGACTCATTGGGAAGGGTGGGGGAGGGATGGGAGGGAGCTCTAGCTGAAAAGGGGTAGCTTTCCTCAAAGGGTATTGTTCCAGGATGCAGGATGGGCCAGAATTGAATATATGGGGAAACAGAGCCTGCTGGGAAAGTTTACACCTTCATTCATCCGTTGACAAACAGTGATCACAATTAGTTTATCATACGTCACCCAATATGCTAAATACGTTGCAGACAACCTTTCTATTTTACTTATTTAACAAACAGGGCCACCATCTATCTCTCACACTTCACATGCCTTATCTCATGTATCATAGACCCTGTTGGCTCCCCCTAAAAAGGATTCCCCAGTCTGCCCATTTCTCGACCTTCCCAACCATGCTTCTCTCACTGGTTTACTGCAGCCGTCTCCACTGGTCTCTCGGCTTTCATATTTGCAGTCGGAGCAATCCTTTATAAAACGGTGCCTCTCTTGTATTTGAAATGCTCCTATCTTTGTCATTTAAAAAAACTCCGCGTCCTTACAATGGTCTACAAGCTGCTACCTGAACTACTATCTCCCTCTTACCTGGCTGACATCATCTGCCTGCTGGCTCAGCCACGGGACTCCTCCTGTTCCTCAGACACACAGCGTGCCTCTGCTCAGGGCCACTGTGATGTGTGTGGTGCACTGCCCAGAGCACTGCTCCAGAATCTGCATGGCTTATACCCTCGAGTCCTTCACGGGTCAGCTTAAAAGGACCTCTTCAGGGAGGTCCTTCTTAACACTCCTTCCTCCAGTTAAGAGAGCCCTGCCTGCACCAGATTGCTCGCTGTCAAAAAAGAGGGTTGCAAAGATAGAAAGGGAGAAAACTAGAATGGATTCTATGGCGTTAGATTGGAATTGGGGATATGGAGTGAATTCACGGTTTTCAATACACACACACACACACACACACGTATGTGTATATGTATATATATATATATACATATATATATAGAAATGAATACAGATGGAAGACTGTGTGTGTGTGTGTGTGTATGTGTGTGTGTGTGTGTGTGTGTACATGCAGCTCAGTCCT